TGGAGTTCTTAAACCTCCTGGTGGCTCCACCCTCATTATTGGGTTATCATTTACATCCTGCAGCTGTGTTTCAAGGCCTCAAAGGCCATGTACTGTCTTAAAAACCTTACCTCTCAACTTTCTGGATAAGTGCTCTAGCCACTAAGAGATTACAGAAAAGTTGGGCAGTACAACCATCATCATCAAGTTGCCATGGCTGCTGTCCACTGTGCTGATTTCAGTGATATTGGTGTTCTGGATCAGCCCCCAGTGGCATCCTAGGTGCCCAGCTAGTAGGTGCCCAGCTAGTAGGGCAGGGTGCCCTACAGGGTGCCCTACAAGGTGGGTGCCCTAGTAGGTGCCCTAGTAGGTGCCCTACAAGGTGCCCAGCTAGTAGGGCAGGGTGCTTCTTCACATTCAAAGTCTAGGTTTAGTTGCCTAGATGCCCTTGCAGTCCAAAATGTTAGTTTTATGGCTGCTGGAAAAATGTTTTTTATTGTTTTTGTGACTTCGGGTCCTTGAACACATGAACACATGATAAAATGGCCTGTTTTAGTGATTTTAATTGCCCTTTTTAATACCTTTGGTGGCGTATTTTGATGCAACTGACTTTTTTTACATAGCAAAGTAAAACACATCCAAGGTGTTTTAGTTTGCTACATAACAAATTACAGAGATGGTTGTCATGTATACCAGGGCTTTATCCAGAGAAGTCAGCAGGGACGGTGCATGGGGCACTAGAAGCCTGGGACTGCTAGGGGAAGCTCAGACTTGGCAGACTTCCAGCATCCTGTGCACCATCCCTGCCACTTTCTCTGGCCACCAGCACACCCACCCACCCTCCTGCCACCTTCCCGCACTGCTCCAGGGGCAAGCTAGCCCATTCTTGGGTGGTCCCAGGCAGCAGGAAAGCAGCAGGGATGGTGCATGGGGCACTGGAAAGCTGCCAAGCCTGGGATTCTCTGAGCATGCCTGGGCTTCCAGTGCTCCATGTATTGTTGGATCCAGCAGGTGCTGGCAGCTGGGGCAGCACCCATGCAGCTAGCACCCTGCCCAGGTGGTCCTGGGTGGGCTGCAAGTGGGTGGGTGCCACTGGGGGGGGGTGCCACTGCCATGGAAGGAAGGACCGGGACCCCCGCAGCTCAGGGCCTGCTGGCAGCTCACTGCCCAGATGCAGGAGAGGTGGGCAGGCTCCAGGAGAAAAAAAAAAAAGGATCTGATCCCTCACTGCCCCCCCTCTCCCGCCCCCCACCCCGCTGTTCAGCAGAGCCTGCCCGTGGCAAGGGGGTGGGGTGTGAACTGATGGGGCCATCATTGTTCCATTACAGTGACAGAAGTCCCTAAATTGAAACAGTGGGTTTTTAATTGACACAATTAAAAACCCACCATTTCAATTTAGGAAGAACTGAACCACCAGCACGAGTACAAGCACCCTTGCAGGCCAGTGGCTCTCAACCTTCTTAGACTCAAGGCATTGCTTCATCATACCTTTTGTGAATTGAGAATCACCCCATTTCCAAAACTAATTTATTTATTACAATGCTTGCCTCCTTGCAGAGAGGCTGAACAGTGGGATAGAGCAGTGGCCATATGGGTGAACCTGAGCCAGGACTTATCCCCTTGCACATGTGTATCTCCTCACAGTTTATGACACCCTTCAAAAGATCTCACAATTCCCGAAAGTGATCTGACACCCTGGTTGAGACTCACAGGTACAAACAGATGTAAGTATCAATATCAAAGAATACTAATAAAAATGGCTATGATGCATCTGCTATGTCAGTGTGATTCTATAAGGATACAAGCAAAACCAATACTACTTTAACCCTATTTTATGCAGGGTCATTCAGAGATAGTTACAGCTATTTGGTTAACTTGAATTCCTAGAATAGGGTTGGTCAACCTGTGGCATAGGTGCCACAAGTGGCATGGGCAACCTTTATATGCAGTGAGCAGCAGATTGGGAAGGGGACGAGCAGCAGAGTGACAGATAGTGCAAGTAACAGAAAGCAAAGCAGCAAACTGGGTAGGGAGTACAGAGAAGAAAGTGGAAAAGCAGAGCAGAAGATCAGACAGGGAGCTCAGAGCTAGCTGGGAGCAGAAAGCAGAGTAGCAGATCAGGAAGGGGAAGGAAACCAGAGTGGACGTTTCGGAGGATGATGCACAGCTAATTTGTAGCATTCTTCCTGCAAAGTTTGACCCCTCTACTGCACCAGATGATCATGAAGCTGTAGCCAATCAGGACAGCCGATTTCTACTCCTGAACTTCCCCTTCCATTTAAAGCAGCATGCTTGTTCGTGCCCTTTGGCGCCGATCTTCTGTCAAAGTCTATTTTGAGCACCAGGTTTACCAATCTGGATCTGACCCTATTTCCTCCTTTTTGACTTCTCAATGACTGTGACCTATCACATGAACTTAATAATACCTGCATAAGAGCTTTTTTTCTAAGTGTTCACAGGATTATAAGAATATCAAAGAATCATAGCAAGTCATATGACTTTCCCTGCCTCAGTTTCTCTATGTTCATAATTATTTTGTTGATTGCTTTGAGATTTACAGACTCATGGAATTTCGTAGGCACTAAGTGGTAGTATTAACAATGAAATCCAACTTTTAAGCTTGGAAATGATTATTAGCAAGTGACTTCATTGCAACAAAATCTAGAGTCACTTCCCAGCTTTGCCCCAGACTAGAGTTGGTGCAAGTCACCTAGGCTCCCTTTGCCTCAAGTTATTCAACTGTAAAATGTGGGAAATAATATAGATGTCATAGGAATGTTGTGAGGCTTGTTTGACAATACAATGTTTTTTTTAAATGCATTATTTACTTTGAGCAGAGAGACTTAATCATGTTCTGCAAGAAGACTATATTTTTAATGGCTTCCAGAATAAACTAAGCTCCTTTACTAGTGACAGGAAGCTCCATAATGCATGCTTGGAGTCAGAACCATATCATAAATTCCAAATTGTTAAATCAAATTTGACAAGAACAATGACTCATTAAAGGCGGTGGAAGGAGCATCTCTTTTTTGTTTGTTAGAATCAACAACAAGCTTACATGGCCTCATTCATCAGCAATTAATATCCGTTCTCATCTGCTAGCCTACTACTGTAGGAGGGTTGTTTTCTTAACTAAAACAGCTCTAGTGCCTGTGGCACTTTGGCCTGTGGGAAGGGAAAGAAATATAATGCCCACCAAAATGACTCACAAAAGAGAAACAATGGGGAACTGGAATGGTCAATTCAACTAATGAGAAAGGATAAAGACATGAACAAAGCAAAGCCCTGTGCGGGTTTCAGGACATTTCCTCTTGTTTACGTAAAACTTGCACATAACGAGGTGTGTATATACATGGTGTATTGAATGTGTATACGAACTCTGACAATGAGATAGTGAACATATGGCAGACTTACCCTTGAATTAGCCACTTCCAAGGAGACGTTCTGAGGCATTGCACTTGGCACTAGGAGAAAAGAAAACAGAAAACAAATTGGAAATACTGTAATTAGCAGCAGAGCCATAAAAGACTATGTCAAATATTTCTCTTTTTGGAAAGAGCAGAATACAGCTTTTCCATGCTGTTTATAATAGGATCATAATTGTGTAGATAATCCAGGTGGCACTTCTGAGGTCCCCCAGAGAGATAAAAAATAAATGCATCTGTTCCATTCTTCCAATTTTTGATAGACCTATTAGCAAGCTCTTTAAACCGCTAGCCAGTAGATATCCTGCAGTGATACCAAATACTTGATTTCAGTAACTTGTTCACATTTATTTCAGCTGAGGTTTATAACATGGCAGCAATATCTCGGCAATTGAGCACAGGGTTATTAAAACGCATGTGAATCAGAATTCTGTGCATTAAGAAAAAGCAGGATATGTCATCATAACTGGTACCAGTTCATTATTGTTACTTCGATTGCCAAGAAAGGAAGAAATTGGAAACTTTCCCTGATATTAATAAAATATTAATAAAATAGGCCTACTTGCTGTAAGCTATATATATAGCTTACCAGAGACCTGTGGGTTTAAAAATATCATTTTTTTTCTTTATTATGGCTACTCTAGTAAATATGTTTCAGCGCTTATACATGACTAATGTTTATTTAGCATCTGGCCTTACAAGGGTCTGGCACCCTTTTCAAGGTCTTTGCCATTGACTGTCAAATCCTTAGAACTTGAATTTGAGCAACAGTTCTTTTTCTCAAAATCCAGTTAAAATTGGAATTTCTTAAAAAGTTCACAATTAATATTTATGAATAACTGACAGTCACATAATAAGATTTGCATAGTAATATCTTTTATTGAACCAATCAAGTACCTGGTATAAATGTTAGACAAGCTTTCGGGAAAAAGTGCCCTTCCTTAGGTCTGGGAAAGAAGCAGATTTACCTAAGCTATGGCTCAGATCTGGCATTTTCTCACATATTGAATGATTCTATTGAGAAGAATTAAATACTATTTGGCCATCAGGTCCTGTTCAGAATAAGGGGGTGGGAGATCCACCAAATAGGGCCTCAGTAACTAATCATTTGGAAAGAGTTACAACTGTGCATCTCTGCAGATTTGTACTTCAGAACTGGTTGTGGGAAAAAGTTCCATATATGCATACCCCTAACACATGGTCAATGTGTAACCAACAATGTAATAGCTTTAAAGATGATTTCATGGTTTATTGTGTCCTTACACCTTCTGGTGCATATCTAAACCCTTAATTCGCTAATAATTGAGTATTTGAACCACCTGTGTATTGCTGCCTCCCTTTAATTTGATCATGCATATTGATACAGCTACATGCAAGGTCATACATTAGAAGCCAAGCATGTCTGGCTGGGTTTGCAGTTCGATGTGGTGGCACAGAGAATAATGTTGAAAAGTCCCTTCTAATCTTAAATCTATTAAATGGAATTATAAAGAATATAACTGGTGATAATAGTGATATGAAATACAGACATACAGGAACTAGAAGACCAGAATCAGAACAGATAATGGTAACAATATTTTCATGATTTATTCTTAACACAAGATGTTTTTTCAACCACCTAGCTGAATGGGACCACTCTTGGTTGATGCCTCAAGTTCTATCATAACACAAATAATAATGCTAACAGCAGATAATGTGCAAGCATATATAGCACATTTTGTATATGTGTGTGTATACAGTATATATATATGTGTGTGTTTGTGTGTGTGTGTATATATACACATATATATATTACTGTTATTAATATATATGACAGTAATATATATATACACATACATACACATATATATAATACACACATCTATATAACAACAGTAATATACACACACAGATATACATAAATATTTATACACACACACACAAAGTACTAGGCCAATAGATTGGCATATATGTAAGTATGCATGTATGTACGTATCTATTGGCATATAAGAATATTAAAGAATCGCAGCAAGTTATGTAACTTACCTCACCTCAGTTTCTCTATGTTCATAATTATTTTGTTGATTGTTTTGAGATTTACAGAATAATGGAATTTTGCAGGTGCCAAGTGGTAGTATTAACAATGAACCCCAACTTTTAAGCTTGGAAATGCTTATTAGCGAATTACTTTATTGCAACAAAATTTGGGGTCTCTCTTTCTGTCTCTCTCTCTATATATATATACACACACATGCCAATCTATTGGCATAGTACTTCTGTGTGTGTGTGTGTGTGTGTGTGTGTGTGTGTGTGTGTGTGTGTGAGAGAGAGAGAGAGAGAGAGAGAGAGAGAGAGAGAGAGAGAGAATCTATTGGCCTAATACTTCTTCCTGTAAGGATGCTGAAGATGTTCATCAGTTACTTCATTATCAATAAATTTAGAGGATGAAGAAGCTGTATCTCCAGTAAACTTAGTCTTCCAAACCAAAAGGAAAATCAATCAACATATTTTTATGATATTCCTGACTCACTCAGAAACAGTAAATAACTGATAGCTCAGCAGAACTTTTTTAATGAGATATTCTTTCCTCTTGATCAGAAAAAAACAGGCATCGTCTGAAATGCAACTTTTCTAACCTTGTATTTTTCTTCTCCCATTATTTTCAGAAGAGTTGTGAGGGTTCGTCTGATTGGTATTGGCATGGGCTGTCAGCGTGGGTGTGTGCACATGTATTATGGCGAGGTTATGTCATGGAATTCAAAAGTGCCTTCCACTGTAATAACCAGCATCAAGTCTGTCTGAACTTATTTGATTCAAAATATTCTGAGGTGCTTGAAGATGTGGCATTTTTGAGGCAATCTGGTCAATAAAGACTCAGATTTCCTATGTCCACAGTGAGATGGCACAGCACATGTAAATCATACCTAAATACTTTTTAACTGACAACTTAAACCTCAAACCCATACATAATTTGTTTGCAATTATCACCTTAGGTCTTTTGGGGTATTCCTGTTTTCTGTGACTACTGTTACAGACTGTCTGCATTGAAAATTAGTCTTTTCTCAAAGGCATTCACCAACATTTCAGGTTGCACAATTTCTTTTCCTCCCTCTTTATTATTTCTCTGTCCTCACCTCACAATTTAGTTTCATTTGCAAATGTAACTAATGCACTATTTACCTCTTGCTCCCTGATTTTCAATCAACAAGTAAAATCAGTGGTTCTCAAACTTTTTAGACTCAAGGCACCCCTCAGAAAATGCCAGCTGTTAGTCTTCACTCATCATTTGACTATGGAAAAATAATAGAGCATTTTTCCTGTTACAAAGAACTCAGAAAGATCACAACCGATGAGAAGTTTTTAACACTATGGATGCTTGTTTGAAATCTCTGGGTTTATCTTGTGAATCATGTTTGCAAATCTACCACTGCTTAGCACCCCATGGCACCCTGGTTGAGAATAAATAAATCCAGATCAGACTCAGTACAAAACTCTGGATTACCTCCATTGATACACCACATGCCATCTTTATCCTTTGTTTACTTCATTTAATAAAACAATACTAATAGCCAAGACCATTTCATTTAATATACCAGGTGAAAAAAAACAGGATCACCATATCAAAAGTTTTCCTACAACCTAGAACATTTACCATTTCCACTATTTTATTTTCTCTATCTACTGGTTTGGTACTTTAAGCAAACAAAACAAGTAAATTGATTAAACATAATTTGTTGTTGCTTATTAGTCATCGTTTCTTCATGCTCAATTATCCTTTATTCCATTACTCTCTAGGGTCCAAGTCCTACTCCATTTCCAAGATATATTTACATGGCTTTTACCTATTTAAATTGCTCTACATTTATCTTATTTCACCACCGGCACCAGTCTCCTAGACCCCTGAACAACTATACTCCTTACACATCTCCATGTTGGCTATCTGAATATGCTAAGTGCTCCACTGACGTGACTGCCTCCATTATGTTCTGTTCTGACCCATCTGGGATGTGTTTAAGTCTCTAATTCCTAAACTGGAGAAAAATCACAACTAAGGACTGTTTGGAGGGGAAAAGATTAAGGTATTTGGACAGAAAGTGGAAGACCTGGGTTCAGGCCCTCCCTCAAACTCAACTCCCACTTCACAGTGAAGTCCTCAGTCTACCAAAACTAGAGCACCTTCCACCCATAGCGTTTGTCAGCCAAACATGAAAGGATCATGGGACCAGAAGAAGAGCCAACAAGAGGGAACACGACTCTGTCTAAGGCTATTGCCTTGAGGAGCAGAGAGTCCTGGGCTCTTATGCCTGCTCGCAATGCTGTTTGTACATTGCACCCAATGATTTAGGACTGTTCCCAGGAACAGCATTCAAAAAGCATGAGCAATGGGAGCGTGCCGGAAATGAAACCTCTGAAAGATGACAGAGGAGGTTTCACTGCCACTGTCACAGAGTTACTTTGCAGGACAGAACGCTGTCTACACTTGTCAAGATTGCTTTACCCGATTCACACCAAAGCCTTCAATGTAAGTAATCCAGGGCCCACTTGGGATGTGGATTGCTTATATCAAAGTCCCATGTGCATCAGGCAAAGAAAGCAGTTCTAGAACTGAGGGAGTGTACATATCGTACTAAATATGAAATATATAATATTCCTTGCAGAGGACTCATTATACCTAAATAGCCTGAATGCCAGAGTATGTTTCAGCAGAACTTCAGAGCATCTCTGCAAAGGTTCCTAAAACATGACACTTTGTATGGAGTGCTTCTGTGGGGCAAATCAATGCTTGTAAATTAGACCTTCTGAGACTCTAGCAATTTATGGTTTAAATACTTTAAAGCCTGCATTTCCTATTTTCTCGTTCCCCGGTAAACACTTAAATTGATAGTTATAGAATGAGCTATTGATGTCTGAATAACTTATATGCATTGTCTCCTGATTTGTCAATTTGATTCTTGCTGCTTAATATTTTTTAAAATTTGTGGGGGGGGGGGGACTATATTATAATTATGGCTATAAATTGTTTTAAATCAAATTATCAGGAAGCATGAAATAAGACCATC